TTGGTTGATGAAGAAAGGACGCCACTCCAAAGCATACAAAGCTTTGCTCCGACTGCGAAGAAGCCCTCTTCAAGCGGCTCGTGATCTTTACTACATTCACGCACAACTTGTCCAGGAAGACATTCTCGTCGAGGAGTCAGCAGTCGCCACTCATGGCAACATCTTCACTCGATTCATCGAACTATTTACCATCCCGCGTATTCGACGCGCAACCCAGGCTTCAGGTGTCGTGATGATTGCACAGCAGATGTGTGGCATCAACATCATTGCTTTTTACTCATCCACTGTCTTTTCCAACGCGGGAGCCAGCGTGACAGGTTCCTTGCTCGCATCTTGGGGTTTCGGCCTGGTCAACTTTCTCTTCGCCTGGCCCGCCGTCTGGACGATTGACACCTTCGGCCGCAGGGCGCTGTTGCTCTTCACGTTCCCCAACATGTGCTGGACTTTGCTGGCAGCTGGATTCTGCTTCTGGATTCCGGAGAGCAGCGACGCGCATCTCGGACTCATTGCGCTATTCATTTTCTTGTTCGACGCCTTCTACTCGCCTGGAGAAGGGCCTGTCCCATTTACCTACTCGGCCGAAGTTTTCCCACTGTCTCATCGTGAAGTTGGCATGTCGTGGGCCGTGGCGACCAACAACTTCTGGGCGTCAGTCCTGTCTCTTACGTTCCCGCGTATGCTCCAAGCGATGAAACCACAGGGTGCATTTGGATTCTATGCCGGACTGAACGTTGTTGCATTCTTCATGATCTTCTTGTGGCTTCCAGAGACCAAACAGCGGACCCTGGAAGAGTTGGATTACGTCTTTGCCGTGCCGACTCGTACACACATGCATTACCAAGTCAACCAGGTGTTCCCATACTGGTTCAAGACTCAAATTCTTCGACGAAAGGGCCTTACTCCACCACAGCTCTACAAGTTCGATGCGGACGAATATGTTTCCTCCGATCGTGAAGAGGTTACCGAGAAGACGGCAAACGTTTGAGCCCGCGTCTGGTCAGTATCAACTACGAAAGCAAGAGCGTATCGTGGATACCCGAAACAATCTTTACCGAGCATGCATAAAGCCCATGTTTATTCGAGATTTTCATTCGAGATTGATGAATCACGTCGATCGCTGAGCCAGAAGACACGGCGGATGCTATGTTTAAGTGGAGAGGCTATCCAGTCTACGCTTGACAAAATCGGTCGTGCTTACATACCCCTTTTGCCATTCATGCTATGAGAGTAGATAGTTTAGGCAGATTGAACGATGCCATTATCCAAATATTCTTCTTCTGAGTTATCTCTGTATATGCTCGCCGGCTCTTTGACCTAGGTCTCCTCTCCTACTCACTGTTCTGGCCACTCATGCTCGTTCTGTACCGAGTCGGTAGGTATACGGAGTAGGTGTTTGAGTCGTCCTCGATGGATGACATGTGCTTGTTGCCAGGAGTGGAGAGGAACCACTCGACCTGCTGGAGATGATCTACCGCAGCCGAACCCAAAACATGATCGACATTGTGCATAATGCATCATGCGGAAACTGGGGGATGGGGACTGGATCAACAGATCAACAGGGCCGAGTCCTTCCTTACCTCTGCCCTTTACGAGCATGGTTGGTATGGTGGATTCGGTCAGTCTGGGGACGACACTAATAATGAAATGCGGACAAGGACGGAGGATTTTTGTGGGAGCTCACCACGCGGGATCGTAGGGGTAGCCACTAGCTGCTCGGGAACGGGCAATAGGGATGGGACGGGAGTGCGTGGAATGGGTAATGTGTCGATCATGTCGAATCCTTCCCGTCCGCCTGCCGTCTGCTGTCTGCCGTCGCCCAAGTGGAAGGAGAGGAGACAATTCCCACCTACATCCTACATAGGTACCTAGTGCTACCTCACACGCTCTTCACGCCTTGGAGCCACGCAAAGGCACTTACGAATATGCCGCCTCTTACTTGCCTACCTTGGTCTTGAGCCCTGGGTCCTGGGTCCTGGGGTACTCTTAAAACCCCGGAGTGGAGGAGCGTCGGGCTAAAGTACGTGTATCTATGTAGGTACAGAAGTCAGACCTTAGCCTTGCAGGTGGATTTGCGGAGCAGGAGATGAGATGGAATCCGAAGGAACAGGGATCGACAAAGTATATTTTGTTGGAATTCCTCGATCCAACTTCCCCGGAGCTACCTCTAAGGAATAAATGCCGAGTACTCGGAAGGCTATACACCCTCTCCACTGCTCACTCGCCTGTCGAATGCCTGGTTCCTGGTTAACTGTTGTTACTCGGGACTCTTTCCTTTGTCAGAGCGGTGATTTCAGTGCTCAACACGACACAACACCAAAGGAGGTTCTCTCTAAAACCCTTCCTTCCCCACAATCAGACAGACACACTGATCCGCTCTCTATTCTTCCTTCCATCCTCCCATCCTTCCAGCAATCTGGCTCGCTCCGTACCGTCGAGACCAGGACCCGAGTCCTGCTGACTCGCTGACTCGGCGGGTTCGTCCCCATTTATGCTGCCGATCTGCCGAACGTAGGAGGGTCGACCTTATTTCTCGTTTCACCGGGTCCAGGAGGGCGAGAACCGAGAATCCTGGCTTGAACTGCACTGCCGCCTTGGGCAGCTGGGGTTACAGAAGTGGCAAGTGGGTACGTCTTCTCTGCCATGCCCTGCCCTGCACTATTCAACTGCTGTTTCACATGGTTCTTCTTGTGGTCCGAAAGCTGGTGTCTGTTCCAACGCTGGTGTCTGTTCCAACGCTGGTGTCTGTTCCAACGCGCGATTGACGACTCCACCGCGCGAACGGAAACGAGAACTCAGCTCTTTCGAAGGAAGAATGGCAATCATGGAAATGTGGTCCTCCATCACTGCTCGTAGCTGGGGGAAACTTTTGCTCGGGTTTTCCATTTCCTCAAGGCGTGATCAAGTCAATTCCCCCGGTCATGACTGTTAAGGGATTGCCTCGACGCTGTAAACGCTTGCGTGTGCCTGGTTCAGCAGGGCAGGCAATCCTTTCAAGATTCACACGCTGGCTCTGATGCTGGAGAATACTACCCGTGGCTGGAGGTCATCCAGAGGGCATTCCTGCAGACGACGATGCCTGGATATCCTGTTTGCTGACACATCTCACCAAAACCCCTAGATGGTTGGGTTGATAACTCGTGCATTTTGCCATCTCATGCCTTCCCGTTCGCTGTCGTGGATTTGGAACACGTCTCCAGTTTGGGCGGCTTTCTTCGAATGGTGGACTGGGTAGACTGTGAAGGTGAAGTCATCTCTTTACGCCTGATCTCCAGTTTCTTAGGCGCCTTTCTCGGTGCATTTCCGTTGGTCTTTTGTTGGGATTGCGAAGGAGGCATCCCACTGGTTGGTTTTGGGGGAGCAGCTTGAGGCTTGGGAGGCTTGTCAGGTTTTGTTGATGATTTCTGTTGTCGAGCTTGGTTCGATGCTGTCGCTGGCTGGGCCTTGTTTTCGGCCTGGGTTGTGGCAGTTTGCCCTCTAGAAAGCCCTCCTAGTCCTGGAACTGACGGCATTGACGGCATTGACGGCATCGACGACATCGAAGGCAATTTTGGCATGGATGGCATACGCGGGAGGTAGCTGGTCAGGTCCTTGGACCATTGCTGGAAGTCTGCCTGACTGCGGCCTCCGTCATCACTCCGCATCTCCTCCAATTCCTCCTGTGTCGGGGCCTTGGTCTTCTGCGCCTCCATCACCATCTTCTCTAGCGCCTTTTTCTGACTCGAGGTGGCTTCCCAGTTTGGAAAATCGCCCACGATACTCCGGACGCCGTGGCTGGCCATCTGGCCCAGATCCCAAAATGGACCACTGATAGCCCCGTATGCCGAGCCAATACCACCACCCAACAACGCGCCAGCCGACGACACCACGCCGCCAACCAAGGCACCGGTCAATTTCCCCAGCGTCACGCCGGGCTGCACGCCGAGCCCAGCACCGGCGGCGAGACCCTGAAACGCACCGGAACGAGTATACTTGGCGGCCTTGCCGAACGACTCGGCCTCGATCTCCTTGTTGACGGCCTTGGCCAGGATTTCTTCGCGGGCGTTAGGGTCGGCAGCGCCATAGGCGGCTTGACGGAGCTCGTAGGCTTTCTTTGCCGCTTCGAGGGCGAGCTGGGCGCTTACGGACGAGCTTTGTTTCACTTCGTGGTCTGGAATCGCTGGCGCTGGCGCTGGCCCGCTGGCAGGTGTGGAAGGTGCATTGGTGGCTGCGGGGTTTCGAGTGCTTTGGGATTGTTGCTTTTCCTGCGATGACCGTGTCTGCTGCGGCTTGGCTGCCCGCGATGTTGGAGGTGGGAGTTTCTTGGGTGGCATTTTAGTGATGGATGAGTCTGCGATAGACTTTGATGGGTGTGGATGCGTAACTTGTGCAAAGCGCTGGGCCACTTCATATTAGGCCAACTGAGGAAGAGGCGCATCTGGCATATGAGGACGTACGTCACTGTTACGTGTGAAGAGCCTCAGGGTCCTTGCCTGTCACGCACGAGCCCTCGCACCCTAGCACCCTACAAGGAGGTGATCATCCTTTCTGTGGCGCCGTATCCGCTAAACAGCCAAAAGTACTTCTAGGTATAACAGAAGAAGCTAAGGTGGCCAGCCGTGTAGCTTCCGGCACCGTCAAAACCCTTTGACCTATTACTTCACGAATCACCCAGCGAGATTCCAAAAGAGGCATGGTCAATACCGTCACCCTCATACCTACTACAAGTATGTAGAGATTTGGACGCCCTTGGTCTCACAGGCAGTGAGACAATCCACCTTATGAGATCCAGACAGGCAGTGACAGGGCAGGACACGCAGAGGCACCATTAGCTGAGTTACAACACGCCTGTGAACTTCTGGCCATTTGTCCTCCCTACTCAGTATTTCCTGCTACTTACATTCGACCACCTAAAGCATTGCTTGGATATTCTTCACGTCACCTATATCCCTGCCTTCAACCCTCGGTATACCTCACTGGTCGTTCCCTCACCCTCCCTCACTCGCTCGCTTGCCCCAGCGATCATGGGGTTCCTCCATCTAGATGGCACAGCCGTGACACAAGAAATCCTGGGGACGGGCGGCTCTGGCTTGAACGTTCGGGCGGGGACTTTTGCGGTGAAAATACCACGGCTCTGGCTAGGGGTCGATGTCCCTAGCGACGGGACGCTCACCGTCGAGCCGGGAGACTTCGATATGCTGCAATACCGAGTGGACCAGTTCAATAAAGAAAAGGCAATTTTCAGACGTCTGTAAGGCTGCCCTGGAGTAGTGCCCTGTTATGATCTCGATTCAGCCGATCTGTCAATTCGAATGAAACACGCCACATACGGCGATCTTTGCAGCTACTTGGAACGTGAGAAGCCATCCCGGCAGACGCAACTGAGGTGGTTGTCGGAAATGGCGCATACGCTCTCAGAGATTCACCGCCGGCGTGTCATTGTGGCTGACGTCCGCTCCGACAACTTCTTGATCGACGACGGCCAATCGATCTACATCACTGACTTTGGGGAATCTAGTCTGATACCGCTGGACTGGGATATGAAGAAACCTAATGCAGATGGCGGATCCGTCCTCACTGACATTGGAAATTTTGGGACCGTCATGTTCGAAGTCGTTACTGGTCGGGATTGCAAATTCGACCTCTTCCAAGACTGGCAACCTCGACAACCTGGACATCCCTTTTCCTGGCCAAGCAAGGCCAGTCTTCCGTCGACCGACGGCATATGGCTTGGCCACATCATCGAGGCCTGTTGGACTGAAGGATCCTTTGCCACTGCAGACGAGCTTGCAGCAGCGTTGGACAATGAGCGCATCAGTTCGCCGAATATGACGGAGGACCTGTATCCTTCATGAGGCACCATAATGCTGTTTTAAATTCGGAAATGTGCCACCGATTCATGTCATCCCCATTGAACAGAGATTTTTTTTTCTCTACCCGGCTTTACAAACCGCGTTCCCGTGTCCTTTCTCTAGGTTATGAGCTATGTTGTGGTATTGTGATGAAGCACCCACTCATTATCGATCGCGGTCTCGTAATATCTCGCCGCCGAAACCTTCTCCTCAGGTACATATACCACGAAACCGAACTCACTCACTCCATGTGGGGCGTTTAGAACACGAGCGACCCCTGACGATAAGGGATGAATGCAAGGGATGGATGGATGTCACACACCAGATCCAGATGTCTCGCCAAGCCAGAGATTTTCCCGTCCAAGAGCAACGACATTCCTGGCTGACACCTCAGCACTGGCTTCAATAGCCAAGCAGCATAGTTGGCACATTCCAACACCCCCCTTTGCCTTTGCCGCTAAAACACCCGTGTCGGTTTGAAGGAGGATGCTTCCCTAAAGTCGTATTTTCTCTTTCAAGTTGTGACCTTTCGACTTATGACCTGTGACCAAAAAGAGTAGAGTATCGAAGACTTTTTTCTCTCACACAGGATCGCTGTGGTCTAAGATTCTTCTCCGCAAGAACCTGCATCAGTCGCGAAGACGCGCTCATTCGGGTCATCACGAAATCCTCCGAGACTGGTTGGTCTTGTCAAGAATAAGGTCCCACATGGATCAGTCAACACACAAAAAGGCATAACTTCAGCGATGACAGGATCAGACGGCGCGACGATGATAATTCCTCCCGTTCACCATCAGCAACCAAGTCGACTTTCGCCAGCACCAGGTAGCAAGTCCCGACGCGTACTCGGGAAATTGGCCGGAACGCGATCTGAACCTGAGGCATCCCTTCCTTACACGGGAATGTGTGGTTGCCACAAACGGCACCGAGATCGAGATTGAGAATGCACAGACACGTCCGAAACAAGCAGTGCCAGACTCGATACCAGATTCTCGACCGCTCTCGATCATCCTCCAGCCGGTAATTCAAGCCTTTTCCTGGTACATGGCCCTCGACCTGCACTTTGGAGATCTGACCATTAACCCGGAGATATGACAAGGCCTTCCCTCGACGGTGCTCTTCGACGTTGGTCTTCGACGGTGCTTCATGGGGTCCTCCTGGCCCGGACCCCTGGAATCAGCTATTCCACTCAAGTCGTCGTGGGCAATGCTTTCCCAATTTGTGCGTCCCTCCCTTGAATCCGTAGGGGGTTGATTGAGGTCCGGCAGAAAGTAACACATCTGGCGAAAACCAGCTATCGCCTGTATCTGGACATTGTTTGAAGACCGTGATGTATCATGGCTTACAGTCACTCACCATCTACATCGAGGCTTTGCGATGGAGCAGCCTCGGCAGGCCGGTCACCTTGGGCACTAAACCGATATTCCGGGCTTCATATCTGTCCAGTGACCACGACTGCCCAGGCTCATAGTCGAGGGCAAATCCGAATCATGAGCCCCACCATCGATTATTCCCTCTCACGCCCCCAGTTTCATATGCCGACTCCTCCTCCTCAAATCTCAGTCTCTCCACTACCTGACGGGCACGGAAACTCTTCACAAACTTCCAAGCCTCCGCGTCGGCCAGATTCCACGCCTCTGCCACGCCGCGGATCTTGAGCACAGCCTCGTCCTTGCTATTGACGGTTTTCCTTGCCTTCCGTAAAAGGTCGACCTCGATTGCCGCCTGTTCTTCTGTAGGTGGGTTGGGATCAGACGCCTTTTTACGCTCGGTGGGAAGACCAGACGGAAATTTGGCCCAACGCTCAGGTCCGGGTACTGGAGGCAAAGATTCTCCGTGAGACACGGTCGTCCTTGGGATGGGAAAGCCAAAGTGCCAGTCGAGATCTGTGAGCCAATCCTCTGGAAACGGAGAAACTTCCTCCTTCGCTGGACGGGCGTCATTGGTCGGTGACTTTGGGGGAGGGGGTGGTGGATTGAAAGACGCAGGGAAATGTTCAGTGGTAAACCACAAGGAGCGCTGTTCGCCATATTCTGATGCCACCGCATCCTTCAAGGCTACTACCCTGCTTGGGCCTCCACGGGCGTCTCCCAATAGATCCCGCGTAACTGCGGTTATCCAAGGATCTCGTTCAGTGTGCCGCCTGATATGAGCAACCGATATGGCATCAGATTGATTCATCAGTGTGATCATTGTATAAGGGTGAGGTACAACGGCAATCGTAAACAAAGAAGACGTATTCCGAAAGGAAGGAGCCGTCGTGATTCTCAATTTCGAGCCAGTACAGGGGGAGCATTTTGGCCGGTTCGGAGGACAAGATGATTGCAAGATCGAACTGGGACATTCCGCAAGAAGCCGAGCCAGATCCTTGGACGGTTGAACAAGCGTGAAGGTGTGGGCTGCAAGAGGCTGCAGGACGGCAATGCCAGCACTGAATGTATTTTGCCACACGACTTGAAGATGTGCGATCATGAGTTGGTTTAGCGAACGTCGGCCTTTGTTCACATCTTTGGCCATCAATTCTGCCAGAATAGGGTATTTGGAAGCCACTGTCTTGGGATCATAATGCGCGATGGAAGTGGGCTGCTCAACTTTGAAACGTTCTGCGTCAATGGCATCCGCAATGGTTTTGAAAGAGCTCAGTTTGACGTTGTCGAGTGCGGATTTGATGGCATCATTTATTTGGGTCTTTTCTCCGGCAAAAAGACCAGACCCCAAGCCTTTAAACTTGGTCAGCTCAGGATACTGACCACGACGGAGGTGAGACAGAAGAGCATCATCAGCAGGGCCCATGGGCAAGCAGTACCAGCTGGCAAGCATGCCAGTCCCCATATGAGCCCATGCCAACCACTGTCGGAATTCTTGCTCCAGCGAAGCAGGCATGCCCTTTGCGTGGAGTGTCTGATAGAGCGGATGGCTCATGGCCTCCGCATCAGTCAAGATCACCGGTCGAAACCCGTGTGCCCACCAAGCCCGCCGCCACGTCAATAGAAAGTCTTTATCGATGCTCTTTGTATCTTCATCTCTTTCGATCGAAGTGTCGTAGAATGTGTAAATTGGCGGCCGTTCAGCCAGGGGAGGTAAGACGACCCGGTCTTCGTCGAGCGTCACAGAGGACGAGAAGGGATTGAGCCATTTCCAGTCGCTGTACCAGGAGCTATCACCATGCGTGCTATTCTTCTGTTCAGGAGGTTTGTGTGCGGAACTCTGGAAGGACCAGCGGAGGTTCGGGACCGTGAATTTGGGCATTACATCTCGGAGGACTTCTGGATACGGGATTGCGTCAATTACGGTGGCGGTGGAGGGATTCGACGTCGAAGACAATATTATGAGGCCACAAACGAAGACTGCCGCGATAACAATATACCGGGTGAAATGGCGTGGGGGCATTGTGCTGAAGGACGAAGCGAGTGACTGACTAAACGGGGGAGAAGAAAAGAACAAGAGAGAAGTGCTTGAACGCGTCAAAGGGAATCTATTGAAAGAGCAGAAACATGTTGTGCGGATTGAAGTGTTACAGGATCGAGTGACCTGCGGGCAGAGAGATTGATGCTATCGTTGGTGATTGCGCCACTCGCGCCATTTGAAATTGTGACAGGTCGCTAGAGTCTGGGGAAGCAAGGCTGACGCAAGGCTGGCCAATCGGAGCACATAATAGAGATGCCAAGTCCGATATCGAACCCCCAGGTCCTCGTGCATCCTGGCCTGCACTTGAATTCGCTACGGCGGAATATTTTCTCAGGCAGCGCAATGATAATTTTTCCTTTTTCCTCCCTCTGTACAAGAGCCTGGGTGACTCACTCGAGGCTCATTTGTTTCTGCATACACTCTCAGCCATGGCTACAGCAGCTGCACACGAAGAGCGCCTGGCTTGGTGGACCCAACTTCTACAGGATCAAACAATTTCGCCGTTGACCAGAGACTACCCTGAAGTTACCACCGAGAATGTACACAAACGGCCCATCGAGGCGGCCGAGTCGCTTGCTGCTCCGATAACCACCAGAGATGCCTTGAAAACACTGTCTAGCCTCGCATCGTTCACCACCGTCATTCAGACAACTCTCATTGTTCTGGTGAGCAGGCTAACTGGCGACGAGGATATCAGCATCGGCACTAATGCGAAAACTAACGGCCCTCCATTTGTCCTCAGAACAGCTGTCGCTGCCTCGGAGCCGTTCTCGCAGCTGCTCAAAAGGGTACTAGAACTATCGGCTCAGGCCGCAGAGAAGATTGTACCTCTTGCAGATCTCCAGACGAGCTTAAAGAGACCGGTTCTGTTTCGATTTGCTTGTTTCGACAGCAATGACGATGGTGCCAGTCTACCCGGTAGTGCTGAAACGACCGACTTTCTGCTGTCATATTCTTGCTCCGCTGAAGGCGATCTCCGGCTGACGGCGCGGTACAACCAGCGTCTTGTGTCGAGTGCAAGGGTAGCCGGAATCCTGGCTCAAATCACGCAGCTGCTGGAAAATGCAGCGCGCGATGTGCATGCTCCTGTGGGTGGTATCGTGTTCGCCACCCCTCAAGAGCAAGCTCTCATACCCAACCCAACCAGCGATTTGGAGTGGTCGTCTTTCCGTGGCGCTATCCACGATATCTTTGCTGCAAATGCGGAAGCGCATCCTGAACGAACATGTGTGGTAGAAACAAAATCTGAGGATGGGCCAGAAAGAACATTCACTTATCAGCAAATACACGAGTCTTCCAATATTCTGGCCCATCACCTGGTCAAGTCTGGTCTGGAGAGGGGTGATGTTGTCATGATATACTCTTATCGGGGAGTTGACCTAGTAGTCGCCATTATGGGTATTTTGAAGGCAGGTGGCACGTTTTCAGTACTGGATCCTGCCTACCCACCTGATAGACAAAACATCTATCTGGACGTGTCCAGACCACGGGCACTTGTCATCATCGATAAGGCTACTCAAGATGCTGGTGAACTCTCGGAGAAGGTACGGGATTTTATAACTGACAATCTGGACCTCAAGACAGAGGTCCCGGCT